ATTGCCAACGGTGCGATCACTCCCACGTTTCCTTTCTTTGGATCAACCGCTGTGGCGTACACTGTGTACACCAATCCGAATGTCATCACGATCTCCAAAACCTGCGAGTTTAACACTCCCACTCCCGATGACAGTCCGAAAGCCCGTACGCCATGGAAGTTGGGAATTAAATCCCTAATTATAGTGCAGCTAATTGTGAACTAAATCAAATTGGGTTACGTTAAAGTTACCATGCCGCTGGTGGAGAACTTAAGTTATAGACATGCTACAGTTGATCCAAGGAGTTGGGCGATCCAGAAAGGATTCCACGTAAAAGAGTGATGTTCCCGCCGAAGAAAGCACCGAAGGTGACGGCAGGGTTGACGTGGCCACCGGAGATGTTGGCGCCGACGGAGACAGCGACGAAAGGGCGAAGGCGTGAGCTATAGAGGCGGCTACTAAACTAGCCGGAGTTGTTACTCCACCGTCGGTCAGCTTGTTAAATGCCATCCCTGAGCCGGATCCAGAGAAAACGAAGATTAAGGTTGATATGAACTCTGCCAAAGCTGCCTTAAGAGCATCCGGATGAGTTGCCTCCTCCGGCCTGCCCACGGCTATGTTTCTGATCTGCATGATCAACGCAAGCTGTTCTGGTTTTGAGTGAAGTATTGGCTGTGGTTCTTTTCACTCATCAGCTTTAGGCCGTACTTATATTTGGAGTGGCTCATGGTGACTGGGATTAGTCAGTTACCGGTTGAAAACTATGGGGTCGAGTGTGCAATATTTGGGAGGTGATTCATTGTTTTGAAAACTGGACCGGATCGGCCGTTTCAACAGAAAATTGTTGCCTAATCCGGTTCAAATTAAACCGGTTGAATCGTTATTAGTGAACCGGCCGGAACCGTTAAACCGTTCGAACCGGACCGATTGAAAACCGAAAAAAACCGAGAAAAATCGGAAAAAAACCGCCAATTTTGTTTTTTTTTTAAATTTAAACCAAACGACGTCGTTTATTAAACGAGCCAAGTCGAACTCGAGTATTGTTGAGCTCGACTCAAACTTTAAAAGTAAGCTCAACTCGACTCAAACTCACAAACTAAAAATTATCAAGTTCAACTCGAACTCGAAATATAATATTGAAACTTGAACTCGAAAAGGCTTGAACTCAAAAAAAATTTAGAATGTCGATTGAAGCCTAAAATTCGAGCTTGATTGAAGTGAAATAATAGTTCACTCTATGCTCACCAAAAGGCTCTATGATTTTGAATGTCAAATTACTTCTATTATTTATAGAAGTTAGTTGGGATGCTCTTATATGTTTCTTAGCCATGTGGATTGTTTTGTTCTCATATTTTTACTCTTTAGACTTTTGAGATGTTCTTCTATGTTTCTTAGCCATGTGAGATTGTTTTTTAAAAAAAATTAAACCAAACAATATCATTTTGTTATGATTTTTTAGCCTAAAATTTATTTTTTAATTATAGTTATATAATTATATTTATTATTTAATATGTTTTATCTTAAATATTATGTTGTAGTTAATTTGAATCATTTTGTTTCACTTGATTTTATGGTTTTTAACTCATATATGTTATGACTTGCTTTGAATATGACTTGTGATATACAAAATTATTTTTTATTAAATATTTTTGGTATTTTTATTTAATTTTTTAAATAATTATGACGTCGTCCGGTTCTTCCGTCCGGTTCTTCCGACCGGTCAGACCGATTCGACCGGTTGAACCAATGAACCGATAGCATGACCGGTTCGCTAACCGGTCCGGTTCTGGAAACCATGAGGTGATTTGTTGCCAGCCTCTGAAATAGTTATTTTTGGAATTTTTGAAAAATATGCTTAAACCTGAGGTAACAGTCATCCTGGTTATTGATAGCGAGGATTTCATGTGGATGAATAATTGCCACGTGTCATATAGGACAATGTTCAGTTGTTTCCTCAATGCAAACGTTAGCAGGGCTAATGGAACCTGAGTCTCCCGTCGATTCGTCGGAATTATTGTATGTTCTTCTTTCGATTGAAAATCTAATGGTCTTCTCTAATATCTTCACTCGATTATATCAATGGATTGGCGTAAATTATTTGGGAGTCAAGCTAATCAGGAGCTTTTTTATTTTCCCCTAAAATCGAATGATAGGGTTCCAATTGTGCAACCTCCTCCTGAGGTTTTTGAGGCAAGAACAGCAGAATGGAAGTCCGCTCTTGTTGGGAAGTTCCTCGGGTCAGCACCAAATTTCCTTTCTCTGAAAAAAGTTATTGATAATCTCTGGAATCAGGCTTCAATGGGTGCTTCCGTTCAGGTCAGTATTGCTGGGAATAATTTATATATATTTTCTTTCAGCTCTGATTCTGCTAGGGATTGAGTCCTTGAAAACGGACCATGGCATATTCTCAATAGGCCATTAATTCTCAGAAAATGGGAGCCTAATATTCAAAGGCTTAACTTTGATTTGTCTCGCCTGCCTTTATGGATTCATCTATACAATGTTCCTCTGGAATTGTTTACTAGGGAAGGACTAAGCTACATTGCTAGTGCTCTAGGTAACCCTATTTCCATGGACTCTGTAACTGCTTCAAAGACTAGGATAGAATTTGCTAAAGTTTGCATTGAGGTAGGTGCTAAGGAGGAAATCCCAAAAACAGTTGAAGTAGTCATGGCTAATGGTCAGACAACTACCATTTATGTTGAAATTCCCTGGTATCCTAGATGTTGTAGAAGGTGTAAATCCTTTGGTCACACTGATAAAAACTGCTCTAATGAAACTTCTTCAGCTTCTTCCTTCACTAAAGTTTGGAAACAAAAATCTGTCTTGCCAAATAAAGAATCTAACTCCTCGGAAGGAATTGAAATCTTACAGGAACCTAATTCAGACTCTTTGGAAAAGCTTGACCTTTCACAGAATTCCATTAATTCCCCAAATAACAAGTCTGATCTTAAGGATTTAGATTCTGAGCTTCCTGTTAAGATTCATACTCCATTTCAAACAACTTTCTCTTCTAAGAATGAACAAAGTACTTAATCTGGTGGAGAATCTTCTGTTTTGCCTCATCTTTCTACTAAATCTGTAGAATCTGTTAGAGGGGAACCTTCAACTGTTCAAATCTCAGCAAAGGATATTGTAGTAGATCCTAACCTTAAAAGAGGTAGAGGTAGGCCTCTCAAAGCTAAAACTAAGGTTCCTCTAAAAGGATCGGTTAACCGTTTCAAAATTCTAAACATTGTTGATGAAAACTCTCCTTCTGTTGAAGTCCAAGGTAGAAAACCTAGGCCTACTGCCTCAGGGGTTGCAAATCTGCTTAAGGAGCTTAAATTAAAAAAGAAAGAGCGCATTGTTAAAGCACAAAGTTCTATAGATAGTAAACAAGGGGGTGACCCCATCTCTCCTTCTCAATGATCATTTGCTTTTGGAATATAAGAGGGTTAAATAACCCTAAAAAATAGTCTAAAGTTCTTAACAGAGCCAAACTCTACAATATTGACATTCTTTGTTTGTTGGAGACTCGGGTTAAGACTGATAAATCTTCTACTATCCTTTACTCTAAATTTGGGGATTAGAGTGTTATTACCAACTATGACTCTGCTACTAATGGAAGAATCTGGGTTTTATGGAAGAAAAATATTGACATCTCATTCTGCCACTCTAATTCTCAAAGCATCACTGTTAAATGCATTTCCAATAATGAGCCTTTTATCATCACAACAATATATGGGACTAATGATGGCCTTTCTAGGAGACTTCTCTGGCAAACTCTAAGAGATCTTGATCTCTCTTTTGGCTCTTTCCATTGGATTCTAGGAGGATACTTTAACACTTATCTTGACCCTAAGGAAAGTTCAGATTTTGATCTTCTAGGGCCTTTCTTTTCTTCTGATATGAAAGATTTTCATGATGTTATATTTGATCTTCAACTCTGTGATCATCCTTATTTTGGCCCTACGTTTACTTGGAGTAACAAACAAAAAGAGAATTATCTTGCAAGGAAACTTGACAGAGTGCTTATTAATCCTCTATGGTCTTATTCTTTCCAAAAGTCTTTTGTTGAATTCACTGCTCCTGGTCCTTCTGATCATTGTATGGCACTTGCCTGGTTAAGTAAAGAGATCCAAGCCAACCACCCTAAACCTTTTAAATTTTTTAACTTCTGGCCAAATCATCAAAATTTCCTTTCTGAAGTTCAAAATTCCTGACAACAACCTTCTCAAGGTAACCCTATGCAGAGGCTCTTTCAAAAACTCAAACGATTGAAACCTTGTTTACAGTCCTTAAACAAGGATTTTTACAGCAATATCTCTGTTAGAGTTAAACTAAAGAAAGCTGAGCTTGAAAATATACAATTATCTACTCTTAAAGGCATCAATCCTATTGAAAGTGAACTGAATGTTCAAAAGGAGTTGATTACTCTTGAAGAAGCTGAACATTTATTTCTAAAACAGAAAGCTAAAGTCAATTGGATAAAAGAGGGTGATAGGTACACCAAGTTCTTCCATTCTGCTATTGCTAACAAACATAAAAGAGAGACTATCAGAGTTCTTATTAATGAACAAGGCCAAAAACTGGAATCTTTTGATGATTTAGCCTCTGAAATTTTGGATTTCTTCAAAGGTCAGCTTGGTACTGTTGATCTTTGTGTTCAAAAAATTGATCTCTTCTTCTTGAAAAATCTGCTTCAAGTCAATCTGCCCTATAAAACAGACACAGAGCTTACTACAATTGTCACTTCTGAAGAGATTAAAGAAGCAATATTCAACCAAGGAAATAACAAATCTCCTGGTCTGGATGGGTTCACTCCTCTCTTCTTCAAGAAAACTTAGAACATTACTGGAGAAGATGTTATCAATGCTATCAAATTTTTCTTCAAGGAAACCTCTTTTCTGCCTGCCTTCAATTCAATAATTATTGCCTTGATCCCAAAGATCCAAAATCCTAGCAAAGTCAAGGATTTCAGACCAACATCTTGCTGCTCTGTAGTGTACAAAATTATCACTAAAATCATTGTAAAAAGGATGACTAAGCTGCTGCCTGACATTATTTCCCTTAACCAGACTGCTTTTGTAAGAGGAAGAACTATAATTGATAATACTCTCCTAGCTCAAGAACTTGTAAAGGGCTATGGAAGGAAGAACATTTCACCAAGGTGTGCTCTTAAAGTTGACCTTCAAAAAGCCTTTGATTGTCTTCACTGGGACTTTATTTCAGCTATTCTAATTGCTATTGGTCTGCCAAACATTTTCACCAACTGGATTGAAGCTTGCTACAAGGAAGCTAGATATTCTATTTCCTTAAATGGTAGCTTGATAGGATACTTCAAAGGCCAAAGGGGGGTAAGGCAAGGAGACCCTCTTTCTCCTATTTTATTTGTTCTTGCCATGAATATCCTCTCAGAGATCCTGAACATTGCTGCTGCCAGATGAATCTTTGGTTATCATCCAAAATGCAAAAAAAAAAAATAGACTTACTCATTTATCATTTGCAGATGACCTTTTAATATTTTGTAAAGGGAACCTTGACTATGTTGTTGGCATTCTTACTGTTCTTCAGCATTTCTATTACATGTCTGGTCTTAAGCTCAATGTTAATAAGATAGAACTGTTTGCTGCTGGTATTTCCCAAATAAGTCTTGAGGCTATAAAATGTATCTCGGGGTTTAAACAAGGTTTTCTGCCTGTAAGGTATCTAGGGGTTCCCTTAGTAACTCGGAAACTGAAAATTCAAGATTGTCATCCTCTTATTGACAGTATCAAATCTAAGTTGCATCTCTGGTCTGGAAAATTGCTCAGCTATGTTGGTATATTTGAATTAATAAAATCAGTTCTTTTTAATGTCTCCAACTACTGGTGCAGACAATTCATGCTGCCCCAATCTGTTATTAAAAGAATTGACCAGCTCTGTGCAAGGTTTCTGTGGAAGGGTTCTGACCAAGCTGCTGTTGGAGCACGAATCAGCTGGAATTTTATATGTAATCCCAAATCTGAAGGTGGCATCGGTTTTAAAAGTATCAAAATTTGGAACAAGGCATGTATGATTCAACTAATACGAAACATTCTTGCTGGAGAAGGTTCACTTTGGGTTGCTTGGATTAAACTTTATGTGATCAAGAACAAAGATTTTAATGACTTGAGTGAAAATCCTTCTAACAGCTGGTGTATAAACAAACTGATAAAGCTCAGGACTGAGGCTCTTCCCATTCTCAATGCAAGTGTTTCGAAGACAAAGAAAATATGGGAAGAAATTAGAGAAAAGCATAATAAGGTGCCATGGCACAAAGCGGTTTGGTTTCCCCTCCATATCCCTAAAGCCAGTGTGATTACTTGGATGTCCATATTTGATAGGCTTCCAACTCGAGCTAGACTCTCTCGGATGGGAGTACCAACTGATGGATTATGTGTCTTCTGCAACATGGAAATTGAAACTAGGAATCACTTGTTTGCTGACTGTAACTTTGCTAATAACTTGTGGAACTCAATATTGCAGCTCACTCATTTGCACAAACCCCACACGTCATGGGAGGTAAGACTTGAATGGTCTCGTAGAGAATGGAAAGGTAAATCTCTCATCTCCACTGTTTTGAAGCTTTCATGGAGTATATTTATCTACCTGATTTGGGAAGAAAGAAATAGAAGAATCTTTCAAAACAAAACCAGAGATGTGGATCAACTATTGAAGATCATCAAGGAGTTAGTTCGAATTCAGCTTGTAGGTAGAAATATCAATAGACTTGATGAAGTTAATTCCATCCTCTGTAGCAATTGGAGTATAGACTAATTTTTGGTGGTGCATAACTGGTATACTCCCTTATTGGGATGTATTTTTTGTAGCATGTAATGCTTCTTTGGATAATAAAATTCAATTTATCCAAAAAAAAACAAGCCTTCCAAATAAAAGAAAGAAACTGACGAGGAATGTAAAATTGGTAACTTTTGATGGGAAAAAAATTTAAAAATTCCCATTTTGAGATAAAATAAAATAAAATAAAAACTTGTCCTTTGATATTAACGAAGTAAAATAGAAATATGATCCGATTTTAATATTTTTGTTTCTATTATTCTATGCAGCAAGAATGACCCAAAAGTATAGCTTGGATGAATACAACGGCAAAGTGCTTTTCCGTGCAAAATAAGCTTGTTACTTTTTCCTAATAATAACATATGTTTCATGCATTTTTTAAAAAATATTTTTTAAATTTAACATTATTATATGTTTTTTGGGCACTAGAAACATAAAATAAGACGTGCATACACAAATTATCCAATATATATTTCGTAAAACCATTTATTTATTTATTGGTTACAATAAAACCATTTATTTATTGATGAAAATCCTACAAATAATTAAGGAACCATTTACATGAATAGCAGTATTAATTAAAATGCAAGGCATTGATGAGGGAACCTTTCGGCCGTAGAAACATAAAAACAACTTATAATAGTAACCTGGGCAGTTGGGTTTGGTTTCAACTTCAGATGATGGCACAAGCAACAATCTTTTCTCCTCAGGTTGCCTTTTTCTCCCTTCGAAAGAGACATCGACTTTGGTTCATTTAGCACTAAATAAAAGTATTATATCTACAATTCTTAAAGAATAAAAATGATTTTATTTTCAATGGATATGTGACTGTTCACGAAAAAAAAAGGATATATGATCACCTAAAAATTAATATCAGATTAGATAAAAGTAACCATCATTTTTTATTGAGAAGAATTTATTAAATAAAAATTCAGATATGCTATAACAATAGATAAAGACATATTATACGAATAGACAAAATAACTACTATTTTTATGAAAGAAGTATGATCACCGAAAATCATTCTCTCTGCAATTTCCTCTCAGTTTTCTGTTTTTTTATTCTGTTCAAATTTTGTATTGAGAAGAGCAGTATCATTTTGTTCATTTTCAAGCTTCGGGTGTACGAACTCCGGAAATACTGTGTTAACTTCGGGGGTCATTTATTATAGAGATTACACTAATCAGGGTAAATTTATTTCTAAAGCATTGGTTTATCACGACACAAGTTGCAGATTATTTTTTTCTGTTATTTTATTTTTATTATACTATCAGCGTTAACCTCTCGATTTTGCAATAATATTTTTGACACTCATAACATCCATAACGCATTGTCTCAAAATTTAGCATACTAGCACCTTAATCATGCTTGTAAAACAGCTAAACATGCAGCATGCCATTATGTAAAACAACAAATCATCATGCATAGTCATCAAAGTCTCATCAAAACATAATCAAACAATCAATGAAAAGTGTATCATAAACCAAAGTCCATTATTGTCATAAAATTTTGGAAAATGATTTATTACTTGTCTTTAAACCAAGTATACTTTTAGTTCACCATTTGCATTTCTCCTTATGACCCAATATCAATAATTAATATGTAAAATTGTTAACATATGTGAGATTAACTAAGCTCAGCTATTATTCAAGATATATTATTATGTAATCGTCATAACAATGCTACATGTAAATTGTGTTCACATTCTTTTTAAAACATGTTTAACCATAAATTCATATTTTATTTAAAATATACATTTCCGTGCCTTTATAACAAATCATCTCTTATTTTCTAAAATTTCGTGCACGTCTGTTTCTCAACATAGATGCAATCTTCATACTTCCTTATTCACATTCGAATTTCACCTACATATTTATTTTTCATAATCATATGTACAACATACCCTTTTAACAACATAACCATATTTGATATTTTAAAATCATACTTTATTATAAACCAAATCTTTTCTTGATCATTGATATTTTAGTGTCTTCTTTTTCTTATTAAATAAATATGTAATCATATTTCATAAGATAAAAGAACCTTCTTATATCTCTTACATTAATAGTCTGTTTATAATAGTTTATGTTTGAATGGAACTCGATGCTCTTAGAGAAGTCTGATAGGACGGAGACATCTTCACCTTGGTAGAAGTAATGGGGAGGTCTTTATTTGAGAAGTTTTTTCCTAGCTTTGTTTGAGAAGTAGACAAGTTTTAGTCTAAACCTTGTCTAAATTTAATGTAGAGATGATGGTCCATCTAATATGTTTTACCTAAGCTACTTCCCAGTTTGTAAGACTAATGGGGAGGAAACTCCCGTATATATTAGATATACGATAATTACTAATATTTCCTGTGTAGCTTATCTGTTTTTCGAGGCTACCTCAAGTGTTGCGATGTCTTTGTGGTGACAAACATCCCTAGTAGCAACATCCATCGTTTCTTTACGTACGGGCTTCGTGGGTCAACAACATCTCTTTCACGTGTGATGGTAAAGATACTTGATGGAGATGGTGGAAAACTTTTTTGTTTACATACTCAGGCTGCTGCTCTGGCTTTAGTCGCCTCGGGTCCAAACTAAGGGCAAGTGAAGAGGGCATGCTTCGTAAAGCAAGGCCTATAAAAGCCTCACATGCCCATCTCTAGCGCTCGTAGGAAAAATGATCCAAGTGAGAAGAGTGCGTCACGCTTCCTGTCTCGTTCTCTGAGGTATCTTTAGCTGCACTTGCAAGCTCTACAACTCAATTCTGCAGGTTTCAGCCAGAAATAACTAAGTACGCCGGTAGAGATTTTAAGAAGGCGGGAGGTGATATTTGGATTTTTTTTCCCCTTTAAGGGTGTATTTCGACTGACTTTTCTAATAGGAGCTGTTCCACGCTCATTGAACTAATTATTGATGCAACAAAATAGGTTATGTCGATCATTGACAGTTCATTTCTTCTGATTTGGATAGAGAACCATAGTCGATGGTTATTTGACTTTTGGCCAGTGTTCGTATACTATGCTCTCATAAGAAATAAGAAGAGTGAAAGAAAGGTCAAGGCGGTTGAGATAGGTATTAACCCTCTCTCAGTCTTCAAGAATTTTATAATGATTCTTAGGGTAGGTGTCAGACGTAGGAGTTATTATAGTTATCCCTAAATTGATATAGTCACTTAATGTGATCAATTATCAATTTTGATAGATCACATGACGTCTTCCAAAAGTTATATCAGAAAATTGTAATTTTCCAAAGATTGAAAGAATTCAGAGTCTAAAAATATCTTTCAAAATCTTGACGAACGGAAATCAATTTTGCGGAGGAGAAATAGAAGAGGCACAACCGTTTTCAACCGCACCGGTGCCAACTTCTTATTCACAACCGCCCATAAAAGTCTTTTACGTTTTCATTGATTATTCCGATTAACAGCGTTCAAGCTGACACTAAAATGACAATTTTCAAACTTGCGTGGCTAAATTGTCCATTATACCTTCTAGAGACTATAGAGTGTCCAATCTCATTCAATAACAACCGTCCAAGACATGTTTATCTATTTCATAATTTCATACCCATCACTCGTCATTAATATACAATATAAATGTAAATCATCAATATAGGATCCACTTGTAAATATTACTATTATAATA